GAATTTATTTTAAATATGCTGGTATCGAAAGCAAAAGTTCACAAGACAATCGTAACTGAAGGCATTCATGTCATTTACATGCGTACTTATGTTCACGTATATTCTTAGGGTGTATAGACATGGTTTGTTTACTATAAGATGTATAGATATGAAATTAGTTTCGCTGAATGTGATATGCAAAAAGTTACACAATCAGTCCTTTCAGACTACTATTTTGCTAAATATATATAAAGTTGATGGCGGTCTGGGCTAGTATCTACTGTATAGTGAAATTTGATACAGCTATATCAAGGCGCAGCTTCAAATCAAATCAATAAAGAGAGCACCTCGATATATTGTGGCTACTAAAGATCTGTCAATGCATTACCTTGTCACCTCTGGGAAAGTATAGTATATAGTCAGACACGCCAGCGCGGCCACAGCTATCACAGCCCCCAAGGCCGTGATCTTACCCATAATCATTCAACTGTCAACCAAGTGTGGGTATGTAAAGAGAAGCCTACTCGTGAGACTATTTATCAGGGCGTTATCGCTTCCATCAGTTCAGTCAAATTTAGTAATAAATAATTTTGAGAACTCTCACCGCCACTGACGGCTGACCCCACGCCCCCGGCCCACAGCCCCACACTCACAGGCCACAGCTCACAGTCCCACAGCTCCCACACCCTCAGTTTTGTAGTTTTGTTTCTCGTTTAAAAACGTTATAACAAACGTTTACGCCATTAAAAGTACCAAAAAGAGTGAGCAGTATATATATATTTTACGTCAGAACGTATTTTAATTTCAACCGTTTCGCGTTTACGTTCAATTGGTGATTTGAGCCGTAGGCTGTATTTAATTGATGCATATCTGTGGACTGACGGGATACTTGTCAGATATCGACGCATATGCTCATCTCCCATCCACATACAGGAGGCGAACAAGGGGCTGTAGCGTCCTACATAGTTGCACAGGGAGACGCACAGGAAGTGCAAGTCGAGTGAGTGACGGCGTTCCGGGCTGTCGTCTGCACGCCTACAGATAAGCGACTACATTCCAAAAGAGCAGTTGTAGGTGCCCGGTTCGGTTGTAAACACAATGCCAAGTACACTGCGAAACCGTGGCCCGACCAAACCAACAACCAAGAAAAACAGTACTCCTGATACAACATCACCAGACACCAAGAAAGCTACAACATTCACACCAACCAGCACTGTGTTCGCCACAGCGATATTCCAACAGATATGCTGTGGTATGAACTGTGGGTTAGTCGTGACCAGTGGCCACAGGCTGATAGAGCCCGTGTACGGCAACGTATTCTCCAGTGCTGCCGACGAGGCATTGGTTCTATCAGGGGCATTGGCCTTCATAGTCTGTACGTTATTGCATCCCTATGTCATCCCTCCGGCGTGGAACGAGAAGATCATCTCGTTCGCTATTCCCATGGCGGCTGCATGGTACGCTGCCTCGCTTCTCAAGGCAAAGTCTCTACACAGTGGGATCAACACAGGCCTTGTCCCCACTGAAATAGACCCACACGCCGTTGCTCGGATGGCTGGGATGGTTATACTGGGTACACCTGTATGGCTGATGAGCATCACAGCAGCGTTAAACAATAGCTGGACCCGCTCGTATGCACATGCTCTGCTGTATGGCTTTTTCGGTGTGGGCTGGGCCTTGGGTAATACCATAGCGGCCATGTTTAGTCTACAGGCATTCGGCGGGGTGGGGAGTACCATAGGCATGTTTGGGATGGATGTGTGCCATGCCACCCTAGCAACGGGAGCAACGGTTATATTTATAGCCTTCCTGCTATTGGTGGTTGACCGTGCGCAACGCACTGCTAATGGCCGGGGTGTGGGCAAGTGGGAGCGCTGTATGACTGTTTCTCTGATGATGGCGAGTCAGGCTGGGTTAGTGAGCTCTAGTTTGCTCTCGCCGTTCTGTTCCACCCACGTGCCATACAACATTGCCCACGGCTTGACAGATAGCAGGTACCAGCTACTAGACCGAACCGAGAGCAACACGGGTGTCATTGCGATTGTTAACGACACCGAGAGGGGGTGTGTGCTGATGAAGGCCGACCATTCCATCCTGGGTGGCACCTACGGGGCATTCCCCCACTCGAGCATATTCGCAGTCTTCCATACACACGAGGCCGTGAGACTGGCAGTGCAGTCCGACGACACGATAGCGAAAGAGGATCAGAAGCAGTTGCGGTTCTTGCAGATAGGGCTGGGTGTGGGTGTGGCTGCAGCCGCTATGCAGGCGCACAGGTGCCACGTGGACGTGGTCGAGATCGACCCGACTGTGGGCGTGTATGCAGACAAGTGAGTATGTGTGTACGTGTTTGTTTCTAAACATGTTTTAATTTGTATCTGCGGGAGTTGTCACGCATCGATCAAGGTTATATATATTGGGCAAGTGTATTTGTATACTATGTGATTGTGTCTGAATGTCTATAACCGGGGAGATGGAGATTTGTAAATAACAGCACAGAACTAGTTTAAACTCACAAGGCGAGAGAGTCGGTACGTACGTGCTTGTCATTTTCTAGTAGCGATGTTTTGTAAATTGAAAGTACTACATAGAAACTGTACGTATGCGGAAATTATCAAGTCCCTGCAGTGCCTCAGTGCCTTTGCGTAGCGTGTGGTATTCTAAAGCATGGTTGCCATAGTTTCTTCGTAGATGTACGGGTGTGGGGATGTATATCATATTACGTTCAAGATGCATGCATACATTATCAGATGCTGAAATAGTTTTGTCTTGATCAACTTATATGCGCGAAAGCGGGTTGGTGTGTACAGATAGTTTATATGTGCGGATGAACGAACATACGCGAGCAAATGCAAATCTCTGGAAGAAGTATTAAAACTGTACCTTCGCCTGCCAAAAGGGACTCACCTACATTATGTCTCAGCCAGTACCGAGACAAGTACGTCTACGGGGTTTTCATGTGTGTTTATGTACCCATATATCTGTGCATGGAGGATTGCCGTAAAAGGCTTGAATATGTTTCGCGTTGGACCTTAGGTCGTAATTTTATGCCAAATTGCTACCAATTCTTCGGCGAAATGAACTGAGCTTTCTGAATTTGACTTGTATTCGCATCTATATTTTCGCTCATCTCTAGGTACTTTGACTATGACATGCAATACAAACCGGGCCAGTTTTATGCCCAGGATGCCGTGGCTTGGCTAGAAGGTGAGGCAGTCTCGGATTACGTTCCCTAGCTTGTTGATCAGAGCACTTGATCGAGCTTCACCGTCAGTGTTGGTATCCGCACTCTTCCCTGCATGCACGCACCACTACAACCAATTATCAGGTGTATATATTGGCCCTTTCTCCCACTGTCCACAGCGAGAGGACCACCAACCCCACGCATTGCTTCCCATATCTATTCGATTACCCACATCTCCCTTGCGCAGAGCGGGACACAAAACTCAAGTACGATATGGTGCTGCACGATGTCTTCACGGGCGGCTCCATGCCCTCGGCCCTGTTTACGGTGGAGGTGTTCCAGCTGATTCGAGATAGCATGACTGGCCGCGGTGTGCTGGGGGTCAACTACTTCGGTCATATCACGGGCGACAAGGCCGCGGACACGCGTTTGGTTGTGGCCACACTGCTGGGCGTGTTTGAGCATGTGGTATGTTAGATGCAGGTGTATATGTGTGCAGTCGGCCTGTCTTCCGAGTGTATAGTTTATAGTCTATGGCGCGACTACGGTATAGATTCTACCTACCCGCGTCAAAGTGCACACTTTCGTAGACCATATACTTATATGACTAAGCCGAAAATGCCAGAAAACTCGTCGGAATCACACCTTTGAATTGCGTTGATTCGCACGCATCAGTGCATCATCATCTGGGGTGTCGTTTCCGCTGTACTAACTATGTCGTGTTAATGTATTGACACTACCAAATTTGAACTCATCATTACAATTTAACGTTGTGCGGTAATTTGATAATTCCAGCGCACTTTCTCAGACGAACATCCTGGTGACGCACACAACTTGGTGTTCTTTGCCTCGGATGTGCCAATCAAGTTCCGAACGCCCGTAGAAGCTGTATGTTTGATATTTATTTGCCTATTATTCGTCATGGGGTTATAATAAGCTACAATTCCTAAAAATTTTACGTAGACGTCTATGTGTCTGCAGTCTGGACAAAGTGGTTTTGCATCATCGCGGCACGATACACCATCGCCCGTTGACCCGAACCGGTCACATAGACGCCGTGTCTCGTACCCACTTCTACTCACTCTGCAGCATACGCCGAAGTCATAAGCATATATCGTACTCTTCTAAGACACACTACGACTTATTGTACGAAGAGAATTCCACAAACTGGTAGCTCATTTCCAAACTCTCACTCTGCAGCATACGCCGAAGTCATAAGCATAGATCGCACTCTTCTAAGACACACAATACGATTTATTGTACGAAGAGAAATTCACAAACTAATAGTTCATATCCAAATTTCACACTGCAGGTAGCGTACGCCGAATTCATAAGCATAGCCGCACTCTTCTAAGACACACTACGACTTATTGTACGTAGAGAAATCCACAAACTAATAGCTCATATCCAAATTCTCACTCTGCACCCCGTTCTCGAAACACAGGACTACCTAGGCAGCAGCATCCGAGCGCGAGAGCTGAGCTCACTCTCAGAAAAGGAAGTGACAATACTACCGTACCAAAAACTGACACAATCAAAGCGCAAAGGCACCTCGAAGCCGTTTCCCATCATAAACAAGGACAACCCTCTCACAGCTCTCGAGAAGAAATTCGCTTCAGGGACATACCATTTCCGTGCAATGCGAGAAATATTCGACGTGAACGATTTTTGGATCGAATTTATGTAACGCACATGTTTTGCAACCGCTATTGGCCCTTGAGATGTTTAATTTCCATGCGCACACAATTTGCGATCATGAAGGGTTTCAGACCGTTCATGTCTCGCTTCTGAGCGATACGCCTTAGAATGGCCACAGGTATACGATGCTGAGCCTGTGCACTCGATACGCGTCCGACCGTAGATACGAACCCTGTCAGCGGTTTCTACCAAACCATAGCTCTGCCCTCCAATCGTGTGAGATGGATTAGGCGCACGAGTGTACGTATGGCCCCTGCCAGCGGTATATAGCACATATATTGCTGAAAATGTCAACCGTAAGGGGCGCAGTAGGTCAACAAATGCAGGTAAAGTATCTACTGGTGGTAGATAAAAATATCACAACTCGGTATACTGTTCCATGTGAATGCATCTGGTACACGAGTGCACCTGCGAACATCGACCACGACAGTCGCGAAGGTCTAAGAAGTGGAGAATCCGGTATCCATAGCAACCCATGATGTCAGCAACACAGAGAGCTGCAGTGAAGATGACCGCTTATCAAGAGACCAAGAGTCCATAGCCGAGTTTAATGGGTAGCAATAGATTGTCCACCATGCCATCCGCAATATAACTGTACATGTCGCGGATGACGGCTTTGTAGCTCCATTTTGAATGTGTGCGCTAACAAATCCTTTTTCCAATCCGGAAAGACAACGCTGTTGTGTAGGCCAGGTGTAGAAGTGGGTGTGTGCATTTGTCTCTAGGTGTGTGCATTTGTCTCTAACACTAACAAGGAACACAGCATTGCTGTTTCACAGTGCAGCATCTTTGAGACGTCTCAGCTGTATTGTGGTATAGCGACTGACAGTGTGCGATTTTCATCTGGTGACGTGATTTAGACTGGCCTTGTCCAAATCTCTGGTGTGTAGTAAGTCAAATAGCCATCTCAAGTGCTTTGTTCGTTATCTGCAAAAGCCACGCGGTAGACATCGTCATATTCCGAAGCAAAGTGTATCTGCACTCCCTCCTTCAGATAGTCCGCCAAACCATCGACATCTGTGATAGGCGTTAGAAGTCAAAGTAATAGGGCACATTTTAAACCTGTGTCGAGTAGATGTTCTGTAACTCGCTTGCGGTGAAGGAGATGGAGCTCTATAGTATATGGTGCGAAATCGGGCCATCATCGAAATCCATCGGAACGAAGAACGCACAAAAGAATAGAGCTCGAAATCCAACAATGGAAATTACACTTTACCTGCTCGATTGCCCTCCGGAAAGATGACTGTGGTGACATCGGCCGCCCTTGCCGCTATCAGCTTTTCCTTGATACCGCCCACTCGCAGGATCTAGTCAGTGAAGGCATAATGTACTGTGAGTGTGCAACCCAGCACTATACACTCGGCAGAAGTATTGAAGGAAGGTATATACAATAACAAAACGAACTGACAGTCGGTTGTAATCCACACCTCCGATAAAACCATCCCCCGATATGCACAAAGCCCACGGTATCAAGCGAAGCTATTTGACCCACTTTTCCAAAGATTATTCGCTAACATTTGACACAAATGCCAATCGAGAGCTCTCCTTCACTTCTTCCGTACCCTGTACGCATTACGTACCATAGAAAAACTCGCACGCAACACTCCTCACGATCCAACACTACCTTGCCAGTCAGGGACACTTCTCCGGTCATCGACGTATCGGCGCGCAGTGGTCGGTCGAGCGCAAGCGACAACAGAGAGCTGACAAACGTTACACCGGCACTCGGGCCATCCTTGGGGACCGCACCCTCTGCCACGTGCACATGCACAGCGTGGTTTTGAAAGAACCGGTTCTGCGCATCTAGTCCGTGCAGGAAGTTCTTTGCGTAGGTGTAGCCTATCTTGGCGCTCTCGCCCATGGTTTCACCCAGACGACCTGTGGTCAGGAGTCGACCAGATCCTGAATCGTCGTGGGCGGTATCTGTGCTGTCCTGGTTTTTGGTGCTACTGGCAAAGGTGTTCGTTTTAGCAGTGAGGAGAAAGGGTAAGCAAGTGCCGTCGGGGGGTAGTATATGAATCCTCTCGGGTACATGTTGTATAAAGTTATTGTATAGACAAACAGACGATATTATATGTCAGCCGTCAGCGGATTAATATATCGTTCGCGAATAAACGTATCGATGTGCCAAACCAAGTCACGTGTTATACCATCTAAATTGTACTATCAAAATAAGTATATAGAAAACAATGTCCGACCGTATAAATACAAGAATATCTATCACCCAAATACTTCGCATTAAAGCTCCACATCCTGGAGTAGTACCTACTTTTAATGCAATGCTTATTCTTGTGGTGTCTCACGTGTTCAGTAAAAGACTTTTCCATAGGTATCTTATTTTCGTACAGTAATGTGTGTACATATCTCTCCGGTAATTCTTAAACAACAAAAAATGCTGATTGGCGCACGCTGATACCGATACGCTGGATTACACATGAATTCAGTGTATACATACCTCAGATAAAACACGTGAGTAATATCATACACAATCACCCATAACTAACACGACTTCTGCACTAGCGGGCGACCACCGATCACATGTACCCATATACGTACACCACTTATATACAGGAAAACAATACCTCTCGCAGCACATCAACAGCTCCTGTGTACTATACCTCTTCCCACGGCCTATGCCATCAACAAGACTTCTACACTACCAGAAGACTACCAATTATATCCATATATACATAAACCACATCTATACACGAGAACAACCCCTCTCACAGCACATCAACAGCTCCTGCATACCATACCTCTTCCCACGGCCCATGATCAACAAGACTTCTACACTACCAGAAGACTACCAATTATATCCTTACATATACATAAACCACATCTATACACGAGAACAACCCCTCTCACAGCACATCAACAGCTCCTGCGTACCATACCTCTTCCCATGGCCCATGCCATCGGCGAGTGCGCTCTCCACATAGAGCACAGCCCCTCCCATTGCAGTCCATGCCAATCCCATGACTACACCAACGGGCGTAGTGGTCTGGTAGAGCTTAGGGTCTGCGTAGAGTTCCTTACCTACATAGTCTCGTATGTTCTCCGAACTTATGGCTACTTTATCTTCTGTGCCTCGGACCTACATGAAAAGCAAATGCGCGAAGGTATATATGCGATGATTTAACCCTTGCTAGCAACGTGTCTGCAACAGCCAGTATATCTCACACCCGTAACTTTCCCGTGGTGTTGATACAAGTACATACAGCGCTAGTGCTCGATTTCTAAGGTCTGGCAGACAGTCTCCGGAGGGCTGCAGCTATAAGCGATCAACATTCCGGGTTGTCCGTGCGAGCATACCATTCTCAAGGCCAGCTTGCGATGCACCTTCTCTATCTGCTTCTGCAAGCCTCGTACGCCGTTCTCGCGGGTGTAGTGTTTGATGAGCTCCTCCACGGCCTCGTCTGCGATCACAGTCTCCGACGTGCTTGTGCCTGTCGTATCCCGTGCCGCGGGTATGAGGTGGCGTTTGGCGATCTCCAGTTTCTCCTGAGTCACGTAGCTGTGTTACAGTGAAAGTGTAGGCGACAGATCGGAGTTCAGATAAGCAGAGTGCAACACGTGCCAGTGCCAGGTGCAGGTCTATTTGTTGGTCTGCAGCAAATGAGGCACTGTTTACCAGTGCGTTAGCTGGGTGGTAGCGTGAGCCGTTGTTATAGAGGCGTAACAGCTACATAGAAGGTAAACTGCCTGTGGGTGGTCCAAAAAAACAGACCAGACCGCTATAAGGGCAGCAGAGAAGGTTGTGTGTTATGACGATATAAACAATTCACAAATACCTATTTGACAAGTGAAGTGAATCAATAGTTGACAAGGATGATTTAAGCAGCTTCAATAGACATACAATAATGTATATGTACACGCAGACAAATACTTGAAATAGCCTTTTTTTCTGTAGCATGTAGTATGTAGTCGACCAAATGAAAACTGATTTAAGCAGTATCAATTGACATATACAAATGTATATGTACACGCACAGACAAATATGTGTATGTGTATATATACGTTATGTTTGCAGACTCGACATACCCGGACAGTCGGATGACCTCCATGCGATCGAGCAGTGGCACAGGTATCGTATCTGTCACATTGGCCGTGCACACGAATAAAACCTGCAGAGAAATGATATAAACAGCGGCCATTGTATATTCTGTCGAGACTCTCAGCCATTCACCGCACGGTTGGAGTACTATAATAAAACGTTGCGCGGCACACTTTCGTGACTCAGGACACCTGATGCATAATTGATCTACCCTCCACCATCCCAAGGGGACAGGACAGAACCCCCAAGCTTCGAAAGACCAGCTTGAAGTTAACGTACCTTTGACAAGTCTGTAGGCACGTCCAGGTAGTGGTCTACATACGCTTTGTTCTGCTCAGGATCTAAAAGCTCTAGAAGGGCGGAGGACGGATCACCGGTATGGCCTCGGCCAATCTTGTCTATCTCATCAATGAGAATCAAGGGGTTTTCTGTTTGGGTTAGTTTCAGTCCTTGGATGATCTTGCCGGGCATTGCACCCACATAGGTCCTGTAGCGAAGAGATGAATTGTGTAAGATCAGATGTTGCTTGCACGGGATAAAGGTCGGGAAGTAAGTTAAACACGAACAGCAGAGCCAAGGAAAGTGTGGGCGGTCGCGTATGGAATACTGCGCAGACATGCATTAGGTTAGAGGAACTAAAACTTGGTGGATAGTATCTTGAAGTTTGATCAGGGATTGCTCGACGGGTACTACACACAGCAAAGGCGTACGCAGTACAAGACAGTGTGCAGAAAGAAATAGTTTGCGGCTGGCACAAGGCCATTGAATATCTTCGATAAAAACTTTGTGGGTGGAGTATGAAATTGGAGTCAATGGTTGTCACGTAAACATAGGCATGTACAAAGCAGCAGCTCGACGTATACCCACATATACAAGTCAGCCTATGTATCCGTGGGGAGCGGGTCTATAAGCTCAAAGACCCTCATACATGTACACCATACCGTCGGTGTCCTTTAATCTCGGCTACATCGTACATCCCACCCACACTGAATCTGAAGTATTTTCTGCCCAGGCTTTCTGCTATTGAGCTGGCGATGCTAGTTTTACCTACACCGGGCGGTCCGCACAGACAGATAATTTTTCCCGCGGTATGCCCTGGGCCTCTCATTTTACTGACGGCTATGAACTCCAGGATACGCTCCTTGACGTCATCCAGTCCGAAGTGGTCCTATACATAAAGTACAGTGATATATACATTGGTTGGTGATGTACAGAATAAAAGTTGCAGTTGTGTGCACATTTATATGGAGGAAATCATAGATGCATATCAAACCGCCGTGAAAAATCTATGTTCTCCAAGCCGTGTGAAAAGCATCGATAACAATGCGACACAGACTACCAAAAAGGTAAAGTCTCTCTACTCACATCAGCGTCTTGTTCAGTTCAAGTATATGCACACATTTCAAAACGTAGAAAGGTAGCATAGGCATCGAACGGCATGCTAGATGAATGTTGTCCCTACCTTGTCCAGTACTGTCTTTGCAGCAACCAGGTCAAACACATCGTCGCTTTGCAGTCCGTAAGGTATCTGCGTCAGCCAGTCCAGATAGCTTCTAGTTACGCCGAATTCCTGCGAGTGGCTGTCGAGATATTGCAGTTTCTGGTTGTGCATACAGAGGAACAGCAGGTCAGTACAAGTGGATGCACTCTACAATGGTGCCCCGATCCAGCCAGGGTTCTAAAATGTAGCAAAGCTAGTTCATACATTCTACAAAAAATATAGTACTGGAATGTAAGTACCACACGCGAACTCACTTTCGCGAGGCCCATGTGATTGTTCGGCATGGTCCGGCTAGATAAACAATTCAATGGAAGCAAACCCCTTCCGAAGTGCAGCCGGATGAGCGTCGTGCTCCAGCTTTGAGATCAGCGATACACATAGCCTCGAAGACATCCGCTAAAAGTCCAGTCCACTACTACCTTCCAGTACAATATCTCATCAAGCCTCACTCACCTGCATCTCCTGCTTGACCACTTGGTCCACCTCCTCCGGCACATGGAGCTGTTTCAGGCGGTTCTGAAACTTCTCCACTACGGCTTCCTTGTCGTCTCGTTCGAGACCCAACTCCTTCTTGATCTTGGACAGCTGCTGTTGCAGCATGTACCGTCGCTGCGTGTTCATGTAATCATCCTGCACCTCTGATTGGATCTGGGCAGCGAGAGTCAGAGCCACCATCTGTATAGCAAACAAGGCCATAGAAACAGGAGTAAGGCGAAGATCACAGACTGTGCTATGACGGACTCATTTGCTCTCGTACGCAAGGGTCGGCCATTTGCCCTGGAGCCTTCTCCATTCCATGTAAACTCTGTCAAACAAGTCCAAAAACGCTTGAAGTATCAATTGAAGCACCATGGCACTTACCACACAATGCCATCGGAGTTGATTATCGTGTGTTCAGGCGTCTCATACTTCGTACATGTGTTACAAAGCGTCCATACAAGAGCGCCATGGCGAGAAGCATCCCACCACATACTTCAAGGACACCAAGGCCGAATGCAGGCTACCCCAGACGTCTAGCTTCTGCAAAAGCTTTCGTTCGGTATTCGGATTGTCAACCTCAACCTTACACGCTACAGTATACAACCTGCAACAACACGCATATACTCGCAGCACGAATATGATACCATACTTCCACGCAAGTGCACGACAGTGAGAACCACAATAACGCACCTCTTTCTTTAAGAGCATCAGGGCCAAATGTACCCTCTCTCTGATGTTTGTTTCCTCCAGTAGCTTTTGGCTCTCGCCGGGGTCGTGGAACCCAAACGATCCCACGAAGTCAGCCAACAATCCAGGGGCAAGCATTATGTCTGTGTTGAGACGTGGCACTTGAGTCATCACCTACAAGGCCGTAACAGACGAGAGAGAAACAAAACCCCGAAAATCGGAATGTTAGATCAAAATGTAAGCTCATGTGCATACATGGGTGTAGAATGGTTCAAGCGAGATATCTGATGTGTGCTGCGCACGTTCAAGTGTTTTCGTATATAAAGATAAAATTTAGTTCGTGGCACTCACCGCGAAAGCATTCTAAAAATATTCTCCTCAGTAAAAATGGCACAACCAGACAGATAGACTGTATCGTATCGTACCAATGGGAAACTTCAGTTTCGTGACAGACCTAAACCAGAAACAGTCGCTCGTAACTCAAGCTACCCACACTAGACACAACACTATGGACTGCAAGTTTCTCAGATATCTTAATATGCAGCCGAGCTATAGAGTCCTATTTTAAACCAAATTATAAACATACTTGCTCCCGCCCAACACTTCCCTCACATGTATACCACTAGTAGACAATATTGTCGCTTAGAGCACTAAATGAACCGGTTCCCTATGCATACCCATGACATACCAGATCAGAGGCATTCTGGTTCCTGCTCGCCACTTCCTGCACTAAATATACCACTAGTAAGAAGTTAGCCTTTTGCTATATAACTAGCTGTAAGTATACGGTACCATACCATACAACAACAACGAAATCAGATCTAACCATAAAGTAATTCAAATGCTCGTCAGACTCCGGATTTGAATTGTCCACAGGTATCGGATAGCGGTCCTCACGTATGGCACTCTATGTACATGCTGGCTTTCGATATCCATGACATACCAAATCAGAAACATACTGGCTCCTGCTCATGGCTTCCCGCAAGCATTCAACCAGCGCATCCTGTGTGCCTTTGAGCATTGAATCATCTTTGTCATAGGGCTCGTCTACCACATTCACCACGTTCACATATATAAACGGTTTCTCAGCCGGCTTGTCCTCATCTGGTCCACTATTCGTCAGCGTTGCGGCCTCTGCTGATTCTAGGATATGAAAATGATAAGATAGTGATGTGATGAAATACAGTATCACGATTCAGGCTGTAGTTCTATTTTAAAAATCAGATCTATTGGAGAGCTGGCTTAGTAAATTCGTAGCGGTTTTTGTGTTCCACGTTCAAGGGTTTTCCAGTTAAAACATTTATGGTTTAAGGGTTTCTTGATCGCGTGTACAGGTGTGTGGGATACCAGCCTAAATGTTGCGTAGAGTTTGGAAATCGGTTTGTAGCACAAAATGAGGATTTACTGCGAAATACACTTGATACATAACACGTAGGCGCCCTGGATGTATAATCAACCAAGAAGTTTCGTCAATGGCCAAACGAAATACCTTACCTTTCTCTGTGATATCTGCAACGGTTTCTGATTTATCTACTGCCGCTTCTTCACCCACTTCATCTTTAGCAGTATCCTTACTCTCAACTTCCTGTGGGAAGGTACTCGATACACTTTCGCTAGTAGTACTACTCAACACATCACTCTCCTTTCCATTTCCCTTATCTGTTTCCGTAGACTGATGCACGGTTAGGAGGGACTTGGCCGCGTCAAACCTCTCTCGCTCCACAATGCGGATTCGTCGCAAGGGTGTGAGGGAGACGTGCGCGTTCCCATGTTGCAGCACCACATCATCCAGCATGCACAGTGTGCCCACAGGAAACAGGTCGGCGGCACACTACACAGGCAAGCGAGCGGACAAGACAGGTGATAGTTTTGGACGTGGATTTGTGGTCGTTGGGTAGGATGGACATCTACTAGACGACACGTGGCAGATGAAAGATGGCAGATGCCGAATGACAGATGACAGGTGAAGTTTGACATTTACCACACGCCCCGGCTAAATAACCACGTGAAATACGACCCAGGACACTAGACATGAATCATGTTACAGTAGATGATAAGTTGTATTGCAATGGAACATATGAGATACTCCAAGAGCCACATCGATCTAAGAATGTCATTTTGAACCAGGTACCCGCATATGCCTTCAAAGAGATGCATTCTGTGCATCACTCTATTAGAACCGCTCACTATACCTACCATATCCAGTTGGTTCGGATCCCTGCGGTCGGGGTCTTTGGCCATGAACACGCCTACGTATGGGGATGAACTCTCCGATATAACCAGAAGCTCGTCCATCATACCCTCTTGCTTGAAAACGCCGTTGGTGGAGAAGTGTGGGAACACGGGGTTGCTGAAGGCAATGGCGATCACCTTGGGGACCTCTGCCGGAACATCTGTTTGTGGGCGGACGGGATAAGAGAGGTAGCACTTCAGCACAGTATTTGCAAGCGACGCTTGAGGGCTATACACCTACAACCATAGTTGTACATTCTCGTAGTTGTGAAATTCGGTAAGTGTCTGCTGTGATAATATGACCGACACATGGGAATACCGCTGAAATTATAGTCATTGTAGACTGTTAGCTCCAGATTTATGGCCTGACACACCCATATGGACACACCGAAGCATGAAACATAAACTAGCTACTCTCAGTATGAATACTACCCTCCACTATTTCTTTCTTCGCTCAAGTCTGTAAAGACATACTATATGACTGATAGCAATGAACCCCTGAAATGCACACAACTGAACCCTAGTTCACCCCAAATTGGGTGCGGCCAATACTACCTAATCAGGAAGGCTAAATATTGGACTGCGACCTCTTTGCCACATTTTTGAAGCAGATTTGATAGTACAGTATCGAATTTAAATCTCAACACTACTGTGGATTCATTTTACCTCATCCGTTTGTTTACCATACGAACTTGTGCGTATATAATCACCAGGAATGTATATCACACCAGTACACTCACAAGTAGCAATCTAGGAGTATGCGCTACCAGTATATGTATATAGGTCACTAAATATCACCACCACCAGGAAACGGCAAATATGTAGTAATACGTACCCAGAGACAAAAGGTAGGTGCAATTAGCTAGTAAATGCTGAACACAACAACCCGCCTGAATTGCGAAACTAGGGGAACTTTTAGATAAGCCATACTTGCCCTGCTAAAGAAACGCTTATTTGTGAACATACATACCTCCATCTTGTAAGATTGTCGTCGATATGGCGTCGCCACTGTCCATCAACTTCCCGTTGTTTAAATGCGTGTGCGACCCGAAGAGCCGGTTTGCGACATGCTTGCAGCTGTGAGAATGGACATATTCTTGATTATTTTACAACAATCACAGAACTTTTTTGTAATTGGAACTTCAAATAGTTAAGAGCGTACACTGGTGCAGCATGCTTCAAAATTATACACACACACACACACACACACACACACACACACACACACACAC